TGTAAACGTACTTCATATTTTGAGTTCGTCCTTCGACACAGTCTAGGAGTTTCGTAAGGATCATAAATTAGATTTATGTCAATATATGAAGGCCTATAGGGTCACACAATAAGCAATCAGTTTTCCGGCTAAGAGTGAATCAAGAGTATTAAATATTCAATTGGATTGAAATATTTATTTTTGAGTAATGAGATTATTTTCTATTTGATGGAAAAATATTTAATTAAGTTAAATTGGATTTACACTTAATTAAATTATTAATTGAAAAATAATTAATTAAGTTAAATTAGATTTATACTCAATAAAATTATTAATTGGATTATGTCCAATTAGCTATTGGGCTATAGGGTTTTCTAAGGCCCATATGACTAGGTTTGACCTAATTATAAATATCTCACTGCAAAGGAACCAAGATCCAACAATCGCAATAAGCATGTACCAAGGCGCTATCACTTGATTAGATAGATAGTTGATAGAGGAGAAATAAAGATTCAGACTGAACACAACTTGGCTGACCCGTTCACCAAACCATTGTGCATAGCAAAACACAATAATCATTTTGAGAATTTGGGTATTAGATACATTGGTGATTGACTCTAGTTCAAGTGGGAGATTGTTAGTATATGTGTCCTAGAGACAATCAATTTTGGGACAAATGTACTTGATCACATTCATATTATATTTGATGATATTTATGGTTTTGCATTAATTGATGAATTCTTTTGATTGTCTGTAATTTATTAATTAATGGCTCCCTTGAGTTAATACTGTCATTAACAGAGTGAGATGTTAATTGATAGAGTATAACTCTTAAATTACCTCAATCGATGATCATTAAGAAAAGGGATATTGATGATACGTGATAGATTGACATGTGGTCTGCATCACATTCTTTGAGAATATAGTATGTCTCACTACTATGAATAATTGTTATTCGTGATGGACACATGGATACTTTGGAGAGTATTGGTATACCCTACCGATAAACCATTTGTTTATGTGTCTATGGGAGTATCGGTGTGTGGAATGGTGTAATAGTCCTTTGACTTGAGGTCAATATGCAATTCATGTATAGAGTGATTTACTTAGACCTAGTCCAAAGCTTACGCCCTTATGGGTAGATACGGGCTTGTGTTGGGTAGGTCACGATATACATGGAATTTGTAGTTGAGCCAAGATAGGATTCATTCCTCGAATATAGTTTTGAGAGAACACTCGGTTTCTCTACACTGGGTTGATAAAGTCATTGGCCAATGCACGTGATTATATTTGAAATGATGTTCAAATATAATTAATTGAAATCAACCAGTAAGATGAGATAAAATGATTAAGCTGTTTGGATAGACACATGTTCAAGTCTTAAGCTTAATCGAGTGGGTCGTGAATGAAGGGACCGTATCACTATTGAATTCCACACCAAAGGTTTGTTTGCTTTGTCTATGTAAACGTACTTCATATTTTGAGTTCGTCATTCGACGCAGTCTAAGAGTTTCGTGAGGAACATAAATCGGATTTATGTCAATATATGAAAGCCTATAGGGTCACACAATATGCAATCCATTTTCCGTCTAATAGTGAATCGGGAGTGTTAAATATTCAATTAGATTGGAATATTTAATTTTAGTAATGAAATTATTTTCTATTAGATAGAAAATATATAATTAAGTTTAATTGGACTTAGACTTAATTATATCATTAATTGGATTAGATCCAATTGCCTATTGGGCTATAGGTTATCCTAAAGCCCATATAATTAGGTTTAGCCTAATTATAAATAGGCGGTTATCTCATATCAGATTAAGAGATCAGATAATTGAGATATGCCGTAAAAAACACAAAAACTCTCTTTGCTTTCTGACTGAGGATTCCTAGCATCTTCATTGGAAAGGATTCACTGCGTTGGATCGTGCACCGGGATCTGGGTTGCGTGGATACCATAGTTGAAGGCAAAGCTTAAACTGTAAGTTCTCGCAGATCTATGATCAAATCGAATAGCTATAGCCGGATCTTCATTGTTGGTAAGAAAATTTTTAAAATTCCGCTGCGTGTGCGATTGCGGGAGAGCTGTAACGCATTCCATATATTGTTTCATGATGAACAGGTAATATTTACCTTTGTTATTTCAATTTTATATAATTTAGAAAATTATTTTAATTAATATTTATAAATTTGTATCGTAAGGTGCTTTCATTAAATGCATAATACGTTATCCAAATATGAGAGCAACAAACTTTATATAAACTGAGAGCAGTCTAATTTTTGTAAAATATGTAAACTTTAAACGTGTTTTTATATATAAAATTGTATATACTTTTAAACATGTTAGTTGGGCAAACTTTAAGGATATATATATGTGTGTATGCTAACTTTAAGTATATATATTTTTCTTATAAAATAGTCTAGACAGAATTGAGGTAATTTCACATTTTTCGATAATAATATAAAATATTTTAATACTTTCACATATGTTATATAATAGTCTACGTATTCTTAATGTCTTTTGGTTGTAACATTGTTAACACATATAATATTAGATACTTTTAAACATATTTAGATAATTTTTTTACTCATTCTTTAATATCTATGTGCATAAAAAGAGAATAAGATTTATAAAAGATTTTCCGGCAATATACTAAATGTTAGATAAAAAATCTCATTTTATTTGTTATATAATATTTCGAGTTGCATTAATTTTGATTTGTATGTGTAAACTTGATAAATTAAGCGTATGAAAAGGAGCGTACGAATTACTGTAAGGATTTAAAAAATAAAAAATAAATCTAATTTTTTAATACTTTCTACTAACTTCTAAACGAATATGTCATAACTCGTCATAATTTTCCCACATCATGTCAATATTAATTTTATATATACTAGGTAAAAGGTAAATCATTATCTCAATATTTATTCTATATATTCTAAGTAAATCTTCTCATCTATCTCAACGGTCCGCAGGTAGTATTTCACACTTTTCTATTCATAATCAAAAATATCAAAGCTTCACAAATTTTACTTCACAAAGAAAGCGTTCAATAATTTATATTTTTTTCCCTTCTTTGCAATCCATTTATTTTTGTTACATATATATAAATTATATTATTTTTAATATTTCACACGTTAAACATTTCAGGAAAATATACCATCCCGTGCATCGCACGGGCTACGCGCTAGTTAAGGTGAAACGAGGATGGTGATGTATTTATAGGAGAGTGTGAACTAGGGTTTGAACACATTGTTGGGCTTAGACTTGGGTTTTAAAATTAGGCTCGAAATATTTGACTTGATTCGATAAATTAAATACTATTTGGACCGAGAAAATAATACGATAGTTTGAATTAAATTGTATCGACTATAATGGGCCAAAATAGAATGGCTTGGCTCGGAAATTAAATAAATTCTCGATTTTCTAATACTCGATTTAATTATAAATTGAGATTTAGACATAGAATTTTATTTCGTTTCCGAAATAAAAATTTGAAAGTTTTCTCCATGGCTTAGACTTAAGACTTAATAAATTATGTGATTAATAATAAATAAAAACGGCAGAATTATGAATTTACTATTTCTGGAAAATAAACTCGAGCTAATATATAAATCTGGTTCGGGGCTTACAGTTGCGGTCATCGGCTGGGTCGAACTTCGGAATGCCGATCTTCTAAACGAGCACCTCAAGATCACGCACTATACAGACCGTAAATACTACAAGGCTTATGTGCAGGAGATGAAGAGAAAAGTAATAGGGGAGGGCTCTTCTCGACAGACCACCGAAGGCCCATCTCAACAAGCACCAGCAGAGAAATTGTTTCAGGGGGAGGGGGAAGGCTTGTTTAAGAAATTGTTTCTTCTTCAAAAAACGATTTCTTGAACCCCGTTCTTTTAAAACAAAAAACTCCATTTTCTTGAACTCCGACAAAATATATGAGTTCAACAAAATAAAATGGTTCTACAAAAATCAATAATTTTGGGAGCTCATAAATGGCTTTTAGAACAGTAAATGTTTTCAAAAAATGATTTATTTAACATATTCAGGAAAAAAAACAAAAAACAAAATTACGTTTGTGTACATTTCTTTTCAAAGGTATTAACTTGGTGGTGCTGGAGATGATTTTTTGAAGAAGAGTCAATTTTTTTCTTCTTTCACTGTGGAGATGGGGACCAATTTGTTGAGTGAATTGGTTTTTTCAATTTTTATTTTTTTATTTTTTTTATTTTATTTTTTTTTTTTGCGAGATGGGGGACCGATCTAGTGAGTGATTTTGTTTTTCAATTTTTTTTCACACGATGAACAGATCTGCTGTTGGTGGGAATTTTTATTTTACCGTGAGGCTGATGGAGATTATGAGAGAGAAGTGGAATATTGGAGGAAGAGTGTTGGTAGGTTAATATATTTGTTAAGGGTAAACTTGTCATTTTAACTCTTAAAATGGCTAGATTTTATTTTTTTCTCCAAACATGGCTAGATTTCATTTTTTTATTCAAAAGGTGGCTAAAAAAACCGGCCTCAGTTTTATGTGTCTATAGTAGAGTCTGTCTTGAAACGTAAAGGATGTATAAAAAGTACAATGAATTTATTGGTTGTTTTAATTAGTGTTGTCGATGGCTAGAAGAGAGCGTATATTTTAATCTACATTTTGTTTTTTGGATAACTTGTACGATGTGTCTTCATTTATTCAACCAACTATAAAAGATATATTAAATTTCTCATAGGGTCCAGTTGATAAAAATGTATAATATATGGTTATATTGCCAAATGTAATTTTTTTTTTTAATTATCTTATTATATAAAGCATGACATTTATACGTAGGAAAAAAAAAATTGTCCCAACGACCCTATTTTTGCATTCGGTCCCGATAAAGGTCCACTTTTGGATATGAAAGTAAAAAAAATAAAAATAAAAATAAAAAAATGAAAAAAAAAAAGTAGGCTTTTGGTCGTTGGCCCCTGACCTGTGAATTTGACAGAATAATACATGGACTGACATATAAGAAAACATTAGTACAGGCCCCTGGCCCCTGACCTGTGAATTTGACATGTAGGAAACCATCCAGCAGCGGTGATTCCAAGCACGATAATTCATTTTAGATTTCTGCGACAAAGCAAAAACAAGGATTACCAATGTTCAGGTTAAAAAACACCACGGCTGAACATTGCAAACCAAGATGTAAGCCATGTATGCTTCCAAAATTAGATAAAGTAGCAGCAACCCAGAAAGAATTCTAAAAGGATGGACAGTTTTAACAAAGAATAATAGGTCAAAACTCTCAAACATTGCATGTGGAGATTGAGGGGAGGAGAAATAATCTAATCTTGATCCGAGGTCGATTTGGCCCAAAACAGAGGACACAAATTGAAATGATTTATACAACATTGAACCTCTTGGACCCAAGTGAAGGGACTCAAACTTAGGAGGTAGTTGAATCACTAGCTAATATGCTGAAAATCTTAAAATGTGTCATGCTACAACTAATCGACTATATTAGAAGATTGAACAGAGTAGTAATTGGCAGAACTATCAACATCAAATTGCACATGCACATGTCAGAGTACACCTAGATAAACAAGTTTAGCATGACAGTTTGTCGAAAATCTGTTTAGCATAACTACCATCCTACATGTTGAAGCAGATTTTCGACAAACTGTCATGCTAAACTTTTGAAGGATGGTAGTTATGCCATTATGGCAGCGCCATAGGCGGCCACAACGGCCGCTATGGTGGGATTTTGGCCTACCGCCACTTACTGCTATCCGCCAATAACAACATTGACTTATATAGAAGCTTTCATGGAATATGCATAGATATAAATTTCAATAAGGTATAGTTACTAATAATAATACCCTAGAGATTTAGTTTAAAAGGAAAAAAAAAAAAAANAATACACATGCAAGAGAGAGAGAGAGAGAGGAGAAGAAAAAAAGAAAAAAAAAAATCAAGGAGACATTTGGAATACTTAGGAATTTGTAAATTCAGGAATAAATAGTTATTATAATTTTAGTCTAAATCATGGTGTATTCATGGCACCACAATTTTGACCAACCTCAGCAAGAGTTTTCACTAACTCTGATTCTCTTACCAAAATCTCTAGTAGATTTGCACATTTTGCAGCTATCATCTTGATCGCCCACCTCCTATCGGTGAGACATCATTTAGAGGTGGTCAGAATATTATGTAATTATAACATGAACATATGTATACTTAGCATAGGTTAAAAATAGTGCATAACTATTGCTAGTAACAAATAGTGCATAGTTATTGTATTTTAACATGTGCAGGTAAAGCACATCTTATCTGAATACATCAAGAAAGAACGGAAGCAAGTTAAAGTGGCAAAGTAAACTAAGTGTTAGAAGATAAGTAGACAATCAATTGCTACCTGTGGCTCCAAGCACGTTCGCTTTTTGGTGAAAATGAGAATTAAAGCTGATAAGAGTAGTTCATCCATAAGACCTTCTCCAACCGATTCGCATAACGCAAAAAATGAGGGGAATTTGGCCCAACCGTACTGCAAAACCCATCCCAAAATCCGTTTTTGCCTTTCTCTCTCCTCGGTGAAACGCAAATTTGCGTTCAACGCAAATCTTTTGCGTTTGAACTTTTAATAATTGCATAATGATCCAATATTTAATATAAATTAGATATCAAGCCAAATATTATATAATATATTATATATATGTGTATATATTATATTTAGTATTATTAATTATTGTTTGTTTTATTCATTTTTTATTATTATATTATTAGTATATTTTTAAAAAAATACAAACCATATTAATATAAAATAATAAATATTATATTTATTATTTAATTCTATATATTTCACAATAATAATATAAAATATACATATCATTTATGGTATTTTTATTTAACAAGAAAAGAAAACACTAATATTAAATAACAACAACATTACTAATACAGATTAAAATAACATTAAAACGTGATACATTACGATTTAAAGAAAACCATTTAAATAACAAGTGCTGAAATGAAATACAACATCACACAGTACTAAAATAAAAATACATCATAAAGCCACAAACTAAAAAACAAGTACGAGAATTTAGTAATCTGGTAAGTTGGCACCGCTTCCTCCAAGATCATTGAAAAATTGGCCAAATGTATTGGTTGGAAATGGATCGGATTGGGCTTGTTGAGCTCTTTTCTCCAAGATTCGTGCTTTTTCAGCTTCAACGTATGCTCGAACTCTAGGATCTGCTATGGAACTGACATCTTGAAGCAGAATTCTATTTTCTTCCCTCATTTCTTTTAAAGCGTGAGATCTGTCGCGTATTTCCAATTGATGTTTTATTTGATCGTTTGTATTTTTCATCTCCTCAACAAGTCTTTTGTTTTCTTCCTTCATAGCATTGATAAGCGACGATGAATCATCATTTACCTTTCTTTTTAGTTTGGCTTTCTTCACCCCGATAGGTCTTTCAGATGGAGAACCACTAGCAAATTGATCCGAGTCGCTTAAATTTAGAGAAAATGAAGAAATACCTGGGGATTCTTGTCGGGCAGACTCGGGAGTTGGATTTTCTGACTCCGAAGATGGATAACGACCAGATTGTTTTTTCTTACTCCTCGAAGCTCCATCTTGAAATTTTTCAAAGTTTTTAATAATATTCCAAACATGGTCGTATTTCCATCCAGATTTGAATTTGGAATCTTCTTTGAACAACACTTTTGCTTTGAGCATCTATAATTTTCCAATAAACAATCAAACATAGCTAATATAAATAATAAATTTAATAAATAAAAAATATAATAAGATTTTAATACTCACTGTATCTTCATTTGAAGCACCACTTTGATGCATATCTTCTACTGCTTTTATGCATGCATGGAGTCTCTTGGCTGCTTTTTCGATTGTTTGAATCCGTGCTTGCATAGATCTCTGGCTACGAACCTCCCAATGCTCAAGTCTTCGTTCATTAAAAGCTTTTTCTATACGTGACCAAAATCGGTCAGATGATTGGTATACCCCAATAATTGGGTCCTGAGAAATATCCATATAAACCTGACACAACAGAATATCTTCATCGTGGTTGTAAGAAGATGAACGGATCGACATTCTTACAAGAAGCTAGATGTGATAAATGTTTAGTGTATAGAATATAAATGTTAGGATGTAGTGAATGAGTCTCTCCCCTCTCAATATGATGTCTTCTTTTATAGTGAATGAGCCTCTCCCCTCTTAATGGTTTAACCCGAAATGAACACCCTCTGCAAAAGGTAACACGCTTCCCCATGTTCTGACTCGAAAATGACATATCACTGCAATGTTCCCCACACCTCTCAATGCTTTGACCCGAAAATGAGGACTCTCTGCAAAGGTGGCACGCTTCTCCAAGTTCTTACTCGAAAATGACAAATCACTGCAGTGTTCCCCACACCTCTCAATGCTTCTGACCCGAAAATGATCACTCCCTACAAAGGTGACACGCTTCTCCAAGTTCTGACTCGAAAATGACATATCACTGCAATGTTCCCCACACCTCTCAATGCTTTGACCCGAAAACGAACACGCTCTGCAAAGGTGATCACACTCGAAAATGACATTTCACTGCAGTGCTCCCCACACCTCTCAATGCTTTGACCCGAAAATGACCACTCTCTGCAAAGGTGACACGCTTCTCCAAGTTCTGACTCGAAAATGACATATCACTGCAATGTTCCCCACACCTCTCAATGCTTTGACCCGAAAACGAACACGCTCTGCAAAGGTGATCACACTCGAAAATGACATTTCACTGCAGTGCTCCCCACACCTCTCAATGCTTTGACCCGAAAATGACCACTCTCTGCAAAGGTGACACGCTTCTCCAAGTTCTGACTCGAAAATGACATATCACTGCAATGTTCCCCACACCTCTCAATGCTTTGATCCGAAAACGAACACGCTCTGCAAAGTTGATCACACTCGAAAATGACATTTCACTGCAGTGCTCCCCACACCTCTCAATGCTTTGACCCGAAAATGACCACTCTCTGCAAAGGTGACACGCTTCTCCAAGTTCTGACTCGAAAATGACATATCACTGCAATGTTCCCCACACCTCTCAATGCTTTGATCCGAAAACGAACACGCTCTGCAAAGTTGATCACACTCAAAAATGACATTTCACTGTAGTGCTCCCCACACCTCTCAATGCTTTGACCCGAAAATGACCACTCTCTGCAAAGGTGACACGTTTCTCCAAGTTCTGACTCGAAAATGACATATCACTGCAATGTTCCCCACACCTCTCAATGCTTTGATCCGAAAACGAACACGCTCTGCAAAGTTGATCACGCTTTTCCATGTTCTGACTCGAAAATGACATTTCACTGCAGTGTTCCCCACACCTCTCAATGCTTCTGACCCGAAAATGATCACTCCCTACAAAGTTTACCACACCTTTCAAATTCACTACTATAAGAACATGACATATACTAAATCCTTCACACACTTGAATCTCTTCAAACATATTATCATATTTCTCAATCCCACATTTCTACAATGAATTTTAATTTTGGCAATTCGTCATCTTCTTCATCTGATTCTGAAGATGATCATATACTAATTATGACTGCTCTTCGTCAAAAACAAGCAGTGATATCTCGTGTTATCGCTAATAACAACATCATCATTCAACATCTTCTCAATCAACAAAACCAAGAAGCCTCTCATGGAGGTTCTGTTCCTGGGCATATTGTTATCAATCGTGATCGAGAGGCTGCTGATCAAAGGTTATACAATGATTATTTCTCAGAAAATCCATTGTATAACGAGACCATGTTTCGTAGAAGATACAGAATGTCTCGCTCGCTGTTCCTTCGAATTGTCGATGCAGTCAAAGATCATGATCATTACTTTCAACAACGAGTGGATCGAGCTGGCAGACTTGGATTATCTCCAATACAAAAAATAACTGCTGTCTTTCGTATGTTGGCATACGGCGTTCCAGCAGATGCTACAGACGAGTATGTCAAAATTGGTGAGTCTACTGCAATTGAAAGTATGAAAAAGTTCTGTCGAGCGACAGTTGAGGTATTTGGCGAGCGATACCTGCGAAGACCCACATCTGATGATATTTCCAGGCTTCTATATATTGGTCAACAACGTGGTTTTCCAGGAATGTTGGGGAGTTTAGATTGCATGCATTGGAAGTGGAAAAATTGTCCTACAGCGTGGGCTGGCCAATATGCTGGTCGTAGTGGAAAGCCTACAATCATTCTTGAAGCTGTAGCAGATTATGATCTATGGATATGGCATGCTTATTTTGGTTTGCCGGGCTCCAACAATGATATCAACGTTCTAGAATCATCTCATCTTTTCTCGGATCTAACCCAAGGTATTGCTCCTCCAGCTCATTATATAATTCAAGGAAAAGAATACAACATGGGTTATTATTTAGCTGATAGCATATATCCGAAATGGTCTACCATTGTGCAAACAATTCATGAGCCACGTGGTCCCAAAAAAAAATATTTTGCAATGAAACAAGAAGCATGTAGAAAGGATGTTGAACGTGCATTTGGAGTTCTTCAATCACGTTTTGGCATTGTAGCAGGACCAGTACGTTATTGGCGAAAAGAAGTGCTACATGATATCATGACCACATGTATAATTTTGCATAACATGATTGTCGAGGATGAACGTGACCTAAGTGCACCAATTGAAACTGAAATGGAAACGCCGCCGCCGGAGGTCGAAATGGCAGTAGATGAAAGTACTCGATTTGAAGAATTCATATCTCGTTACAAAAGAATTAGAAATAAAGATGATCACATTGCTCTTCGAAATGCACTAATTGATCATCTGTGGGAAGAATTCACCAATTCCGAGACTTGAAAGACTATCTATGTTTACTTGATTGTTGTAATTTTTAATTTCTCATGTTGTGTGTTGTAATTTTTAATTTTATTTTGTGTGTGGTAATTTTTAATTTCTCATCTTGTGCGTTGTAATTTTTTAATTTTATCTTGTGTGTTGTAATTTTTAATTTATCATCTTGTGCGTTGTAATTTTTAATATTTTGTGTGTTGTAATTTTTAAATTTTAATTTTAATGACTATTTATTTATCCGATTTTATTATGTATATATATGATTATTACTTTATAATTAGTATATTACATGAAGTCCAAATTGAATTAAAAATAATAGTGTGGTTTAATTTGTAAAGTTGTAAAATATGTGGGTAGTATTGAAAAGTTATAAAAGTTGATGTAAAAGAGAATATTCCGAGAATATTCTTTTGGGTTGGAGAATGGGTTTTTCGGTTGGAGATGAATTACTGCAAAATGGGATAAGTACTGCAAAATGGGTTTGAGTATGGGGTATTCGGTTGGAGATGGCCTAAACATTGGAAGTAGTTGCTTCTTCGACACAATAATCTTCCTACAAAGAAAAAGAACATACCAACAGCATTGCTAAGTTGCATACAGATAGGAAGTAGTTGAGAACAAATACAATTTCGAAACTCTTTTTTTGAAAACTAAGCCCCCAAGGAAGGAGCATGGATAGAATTTACATGAAGAAGTGAGATGTTACCTTTATTTCAGTTATTGCATATGCTAAAGACATTTCAAAACTAAGCAGCACTCACAATGATCAGATAACCCATATACACCACAAACAAGAGGAGGAAATGTTCCATCAAACTAGTCTATGCCATCCATGTCCCTGTCTATTTTATTATGATGAGATTCAATAATTAAGTGGAGAAAAAATATATCCCTGTCAGGTTTAAAAGATAATAGCTTCAAAACTATACCAATTACATTTACAGGTAATCCAGATATCAGTGGTTTTGTAATGGATCTGAGTTTTTACTTTTTCTTTTCTTTTCTTGTACCCTTTTCAGGCTAAATTCTAATTAGAAGTTTCTTTTAATGCCACTACTCCAAATTACTTTGTAACGGAAAGTGGAATGATAATAGCTCCTAATCGCTCAATATTTGCATAGCACCAGAGAGATAAAATATATTTGTGTGGAACAAACACAAGTAGGCATACGTCTTGAAAAGAAAAAAGCTACTTGGAATTCCAAGCAGTGCCAAAATCACAACTTAATAAAAGAAGTGTCTTGCTATGCTTCATAACTTCCTTTTCCATAATGTCCAGGAACAATGCATTTCCATCTAGTTCATCACCTGTGTTTGCTCGAGAGTCGCACGAGATTACATATCGGTTATAAGCATCCATAAATGCATCTCTAACCGCACGATACAGAGGAACAAGGACAAAGGTCCAGATGCCAAGATTATGTCCGTGATGCCAAAAAAATTCAGAACGACCATCATCTGGTTGAGGCTTAGTTCCAGAAGATGAAGACGGAGAGCTATTGGCCTCTTCAGTGAGTGCAGCGAATGCAGTAAACTACATTGGATGAGTAAAGCCCACTTCATCACTTGGTGCAATAAGTGACACAAGGATTACCAGCATTATAGGTTATGAACAAACAGAATCCAAAATTAATTTTAAACATTTAACATAATACACTGAAGAAATAACTCAAATTCAGCATTATTGATAATGAATATTGCGCTATACAAACCCGTTAATACACCATGACGATCTAAAATGTGTTTACCTGCAAAACTTTGCACGACTGAACAAAGAAGAGGTAATTCCCCCACTCTTTAGCCAATCGGAAGGATTCACAAATCACAATATCATCACAAATCACGGAACGAGCTTGTCGGGCTCGGTGGATCGTCTCGGACCTTCGGTATGTGAACCGGACTCCTCGGTCAGCTCGGAAACCATCTTGGACTCCAACCGTGGTTGTTAGTCGAGTTGAACCAGTCTGGACCTTGCTGGCACGTCTGGACCGGTCTGGAGGTGTTCTGGGCCGGCTGGGATGCATCTGGACCGCTTTCCAGTTTGCTAGGCCGCTTGAGCGCATGTGGGCCCCGCGCGGGCTGAATTGTGTGGGGAATCGGGCTTCGCGGGCTGAGGCGCGAGCCGCACAGCCCGCACTATTTTCTTTTCCTCTGCTGATGGGCCACGCGCGGATTTGGGCCGCCCGCATGCTTCTGGGCTTCTCGCGCAACGGGCTTCGCTGCTTCATGAGCGGCGAAGGCCGATACGGGTCTTTGAGACTACAAATACGGAATAAGTTCTCAGTTTATGCTCTTATAAGTTTTAGTCATGATATGTTATTATTTATGTTGTTTTATTCAGTACTGGTCTTGCGGAGCATAATGGTTTGCTCACAACCCCATTGTGTTTTTCAGGTAATGGAGTCCAGCGTGCCGGGTGAGCGTACGTGGCAAGCGTGGTCATGAGCCGAGGACATTTTTACCCCTCATCTTATGTCCTATATTCATGAACCATTATTTATGTATATGTGTATGATGTATGTTATTAGTTGTATGCTTCCGCTAACTTGACCGTCAGTGCGAGACTATCAGACTGCATTGTTTGTTATGTTTTTGTGTGTTTTTCTTGTGTTTTATTTGCTTGAGTCGAGTCATTTTAGTTTTGATTTGTGTGTCCCGGTCCATTTTTGTTCGTTTTTAGTAGTTTTTAGTTTTAGTCGTGTTAGTATATTTTTCCTATCTCTTTTGTGCGTTTTGGTGTCTTTGTGGGTTCGAAAGGTAGAAATAGTCATTTTGTGATGTGCCATCTCGAGTGTTAATTCAGTTTGCATGCATCTCATGTCGAGGAGGATAAGATTTTAGGAGTGTGAGTCGAAGTTTCGAGTCGATCGGAGGTCCGTGCGATGAATTAGAAGCCTTAGAAGTCGAACCAAAGTCACCGGGACAAAATTCGCGAGCCACGAATCCTAATTCGCGAGCTGCCCTTCGCCCGCGAGTTTCTGATTTCGAGCCCTCGAAATAGCCTTTGCTCGCGAGTTTCCTTCATGCAACCCACCGCCCGCGAGTTTCCAATTTCGCGCCCTCGAAACAACCTTTGCTCGCGAGTTTCCTTCATGCAACCCACCGCCCGCGAGTTTCTTCTTCAGCGCCCTCGAAATTGCCCTGCGTCGCGAGTTCTGTGTTGCCAGCGAAATTTAGCAGCGATCAAGATTTTACTCGTGAGTGTTTTTTTTTAATGTGTGTGTTAGTGCGTGTTTTTGCTACTTAGTATAAATACATTTTGGTCCTTTGTATTTGGGACATCTAGATTTCATTTGTCACTTTTCCTTTTTAGGAATTAAGCTTTTTTTTTAGTTTTCTCTCTTCTCTCTCTTGGGAGCTCTATGACATCATTTTCCAGCGAGTTTTCCGGCGAGTTTTATTTTGTTCAAGTTCCGAGCTTTTGACTCCGATTTTTGTCTAGCACGCAATAGAAGATTGGGTATTTACTTTTAAAGCTCATTACTTCGATTTTTGCCTCATTTTTGCTTATGGAATTTTTCAAGGTGAATTTGAGTGTTTGTTTGATGATGGAGGATATGCTTAGACGTGATCATTGCTCATGCTTGTTTTAGTAGAGACTAATTGCTTGCCTATCTAGATTTAGGGTTAGGACTCTATTTAGAGCTTAATCACTTAGGTTAGAAGGTTGGGATTAGTGATCTAGTGTTAGAACTTGCATACTTCTAGTTGTTGATTTCGTTTGATGTTGATGGCTTAGAGACTCCGGTAGTATTAATTGCGTTATTCTCTCGTTGATTGTCATTTTTACTTCCTCGTGCAATTAGTGTTAATCCACTCCCAATCCAAATTGATTAGCATGTTTAGCTTTTATTTTCTCATTTTGTGTGATTTGGACAATTGAGTGGTATCCGAACCGTCTTCCTTTGTGAACGACTCGAGGTCGGGCAGCTCGGTTACCAACTACCCTCAAAATACTACAAAACATGCATGCATGAACCCTTTTATTTTCGCAGTGGATTGATTCGGTTGCATGTTTTTATTTATGTATGAATGAGTAAGATTAGAAGTCTTAGTAGCATCCCGTAAGATAATAAGTATTTTCGAAAACAAGCTTGCACGATATTTCGAAAATAAAAGAAAAAATTTAACTCTGATTTTTAAAAATCAAAGCTAGATAAGGCGGGGTATTACAGTGAGAATTTGGGCTTGCGTCCTTTCCACATCTCATAAGGAATAGTGTCAACTGACTTCGATGGAACCATGTTCAGAATATACGATGCTGTTTCCAATGCCAAACCCCAGAACGAATCTGGTAACCTCGAATAACTCATCATAGACCTAACCATCTCCATAAGAGTCCTATTTCTTCGCTCTACAACCCCGTTCTGCTGGGGCGTGTCGAGTAGGGGTGTTCACGGTCCGGTTTTAACAGAAAAAACCGTCAATCCGGACCGCAAATCGGTTAAATGGTCAGTTAAAAAAGCCTTAAAAATCCGGTGGTTAATTTTTTTAAAAATTTGAAATAACCGATCCGGTTAACGGATTACCTGCGGCAAACCGCCGGTTTAGCCGGACCGAACGGGTAAATATTAAAAATCTATAACAAATACATATATATATATATATATATATTCAGTCATTCACTATGGCCGACAAATACAATACATTCACTATGAATGCTTTGCTCTTATTATTTCAGATGTATAAACTGACTGAAAAATGAATGCTTGGGTTCAGTTTGCATAATTTAATCTTCATCATTTTTGTATTTTTATGTTTATGGGACGAAATGTGTATTTTTATGCTTATGGGACGAAATGTGTATTTTTTATTTCATTATTGTTGTTTTTCTTAATTTTTAGGCCAAAATAATCTCTTTTGGGCCAAAATTGAAAAATAAAATTAAGCCCAAAATGAAAAAAATAAAAGTTGAAGGCCCAAAACAAGGATCTTAGATTTAACCGGTTAACCGCCAAACCGGACCATCCAATGCGGTCCGGATTGTGGTCGGTTAAAAAATAAAACCCGGTCCGATTATGGAAAAGAAAAAAAATTAACCGTTAGGGTTTGGTCATGGTTTGGGCTAAAACCGTACCAATCCGGACCGTGAACACCCCTAGTGCCGGGTGCAGTCAGCTGGGATTCAATTCCAGCTTCCGATATATATGTCCTGAACTCTCCAAGAGGTATTCGCCACCTCGATCAGAACGAAGTGACTTGATACTTTTACCATTTAAACTTCTCCACAACTGCCCGATACTCCTTGAATTTCTCAAAGCATTCGCACTTACGGTGCAACAGGTAAACGTACCCAAATCTCGAGTAATCATCTATAACAGACACATAATACTCGAAACCTCATATAGCCTGGATCGACATAGCACCACGCAAATCAGAATGAATCTGTCCTAGCACTTCTTGGCTCCTATACCCTTTTGCCGTAAACGGCCTCTCGGCCATCTTACCTTCCAGACAGGATTCACAAGTTGGATAGTGCTCTTCCAATGGACCAAGAAGTCCACTGGCCACTAACTTTTGAATCCTCCTAAGGTTGATGTGCCCAAGTCTAAGGTGCCACAGATATGCTTGATTCATCTGTGAAGACTCCTTCCTATTATTAGGTTTAGTTATGACATTATTCAATTCATTATGTTGCACTGTGGGAGAGTTTGGTTTGAGAACATATAAATTGCCAACTAATGAACCACAACATATGAAACGATTTCCAAAACGAATAATAACTATGTCATCAAAGGAAACTGAAAACCCATCCATAACGAGTTTAGAAACTGAAACAAGATTCTTTCTAAAGCTAGGAACATAAAGGCAATTTCTCAAAACCAAACTACTACTATCAAACGATAAAGTAACGTCTCCCACTGCAACTGCCGCCACTTTCGTAGCATTGCCCATGTAGACGGTGATCTCTCCCTCTCTAAGTCATTTGGTTTCCTGGAACCCCTGCAAAGAATTGCAGACATGATCAGTGGCTCCAGTATCTACACACCAGGTTCTGGTAGATACAACTGCTAAACATGTTTCTACGACATTAACGAGAGAGTTACCTTTGTTGAGGAGAGGGCAGTCGACCTTTCAGTGTCCTGACTTGTTGCACTTGTGGCATCTTCTTTTTGGTTTCTTTGCCACACCCTGAGGGGCCGGTCGTGGGAAAATCGGAGCATCCTGTGCCTTCACCATTTCTGCAGACTTCTTTCTCTTCTTGCCCTTGTGAGGCCTGAAAGGTCCAGGGCGACTACCACCTGAGGTGCTTGAGTGAGTAAGGCCTCCGCCGACAGAAGCTCTGCAAGCAGTTCTAGAAGATCCATATGCATCTTGTGCATGTTGCAGTTCAACCGGAACTGGTCAAAGCTCTTCGGCAGAGATTGGAGCATAATATCAACCTGGGTTTCTCCATCAGTAAAACCTCCCATAACCTCAAGCTCATTGAGCTATGCCATAACCCTGAGGGCGTGCTCCCTTACGGGTGTGCCCTCGACCATGCGCGTACTCATCAGAGCACTCAAAGATTCTTGCCTAGCAGCCCTAGACTGATGTCCAAACAGATTCCTGAGATTGAGCAGTATATCTGCTGCAGTGTCATAGACTGATGCTGATGTTGAAGAACATTCGACATAGAAGCCAGAATGTAACACTTCGCCATCTTATCAGCCTTCTTTCACCGAGCATACTCCTCTTTCTCCTGCTCAAGAGCATCAGCCACCGGCACTGCCGGGCATGTCTCATTGATGGTAAACTCATAACCCTCAGCAGTCAACACTATGTCTAAGTTTCTCTTCCAATCAATGTAATTGGGACCAGTAAGCTGATTTTCTTTTAGAATGACAGACAACGGATTGGACGACATGATGAATATCCTGAGAATCATGCAAATAAATTTTACAGATGAAACACTTTTGAATTTAACTGCTAATCCTCAAAACAATATTAACATAAATTCACCGATATCTATTACACCTTGTGAGAATGCATGCTACGAGGATCGCCCTACAAATTCACATTTTGTAAGAGAAGGGCTTTTCAAGGGCCCATTAATTTTTATAAGTCAAAACCAAATTCATGA